TTTGAATTAATGAAATGGAACTTTGAAGCTACAATATCTGGAGTAAAGACTCCTGAGAAGTATTCCAGATCTATAATTTTTGATCACAGCTACTGTTATTAACAATATCAATAATAACTTTTTAAAGCATCATCTCCAAAGAAAGCAATCACCAAAGCAGGTGCCTCAGCAGTATTTCAATCATCCCTCAAGATTTCACAGAAGACCTTCATCAAACACTACAAAAATGCCACATGTTTCTGTTCCATAGGTCAGCGTAGTTGTGTCACTGATCACAATGATTGCACCCTCTGCTTTTGAACTTGTTGCAGCTCTAGAGATGTATCATCCAAGGACCACTCTTCGCTTCCAGCTTGCCAGGTATGGGCATTATTCAGTGTAAAAAATTCATGGAGAGAAAAGGAGGAAAGGAGAGGTGTGTTCTGGTTGATGTTTTAGTACAGCCAAACAAGAGAACGTATGAGATGTCAGTGGTTACCGATGCTGGTAACCCATGTTTTATTCTCTTTTCAGGGTTCTTGTCCTATACCTGGGAAACCTCTACAGTTTAATCATTGCTCTCCTGGATAAAGTGGACAGTATGAGTGTCACTGTAAGTTTAACTTGTTTTCTGATGTGTAAAGTTAGTAGACTTCACAGATAGAATCCTTTTTATTGTGAAGTATATGAAGTCAGATGAAAATCTGTTTGAAATTGATTAAAATATTATGGTTTGATAAGACTGTAGAGTTAAGTTTAGATAGTAATGTATATTCACAACTACTTATTGAGTCTTTTAAATTAGTTTTTAAGGATAACTGGATCCATGTAATTGCTGATGTAACGAGACAGATTTCTGTGCATTGATGAACTATTAAAAAAAACCAACCTCATCACTTGTAGGTCAAATATTTCCACCTACCTAAATTAGCTTTAAGTCCTGCCCTTTGGTGCTCCATCTGACTCTGTCCATTGGCAGATCTTTAACAGTTGCCTAACTGCTTGGAAATATATGAAGAAATGTCTGTGTGTGTGTGTGTGTGCTGTAGAAGGTGCAGACATCTGCACCCAGGTACAGTTAAAAAGTAGCTTTTGAGACATTTATTATTTCAGGACTCTGATGTGAACAACAATGCAAGTAATTCTACCACCTCCTTAGCAACCAACGCTCTTTCTAAGGATGACAATTTAACCATTCCCAAAGTACAAATTACGAGAAATGGCTTTGTCACATCAGAAGAGCATCGCACCCAAGGCCTGACAGTCTCAGACTCAGTGGTTAACCAAACAATTTCCTTTAACACCCAGAACCCACAGGATCAGTGCTGGGAGACATATGTCGGTCAAGTACGTAATTGTTTTATTGTCATCAACTTACCCCACTTAATCCACATTTGACAAAAAATTAGAATGTTGTGCTGTGTTTAATTTTAGAACTTTTCTTTGTATAAATTGCAGAATTTAGCTAAGGATGATGTAGGAAGAGTAAAGACTGTGCAAAGTGCTATGGCCACAGATACGAGCTTTGGGTTTTTTGCATTATCTAAAGTATGTTTAGTGCTGTTCAGATGCTCTTTTGACAGGCTTTGTTCTCTGTCTTCAGCTCTGCACAGACAGGTCTGTACAGATTTGTGATATGGATCCTATTTTAACAGGGTACATCCTTCTAACCCTTACAGAGAAACAATATCATAACATGAGCAGTAACATGCACTCTGTGCAGATTCAGATTGCTGCCTCAAGAGATGGAGATGCACACCTGAAACAAGCACAAGATTGTGCTCTTG